GGAGGGAGGGAGGAGGTCGACCTGTCTGCTGGAGAAGTTGAGGCCCAAGTTGTGGATCATCACCTCAGCGTCGTCTGGCCTGACGTACCTGCTGCCCGTCAGCTGCTGCCCCACCTTACCAGCTCAGCTCACTCGGCAAAACCCTTGTCGAAATACTCCCAGGCGTTGCGCAGGGAATGGTCGACGACCTGCGGGAGGAGGAGCGGAATAAGAGCGAGGAAAGATGGAGATTTGGAGAGAAGAGGGAGGCAAAGGAGGAGCACAAGGCAAGGCAGGGCAGGGAAGGGGAAGAGGAGAGGAGATAATGTGAGTAGAGGCGATGGAAAGTTTGGCAAAGAGGGGAGGAGAGCCGAAGGGAGGAGGGGAAGGAAGGAGGAGATGGAGGTAATTCCAGACCTCTTCCGTGCGGTATTGCTCTTCAGCTTCGACTTCCTGCGATGAGAAGTTCAGCCAGCAGTTGCTTGGTTCACGAGGAGGAAGACGAGGAGGAGGAATGCAAGGGAGGAGGATGTGGTGGTGACGGAGATATGATTGTTCGATGAAGAGGATGGGAGAGAGGGAGGGCAGGAGGAGGAGAAAGAGGAGGAGGAGGAGGAGGAGGAGAAAGAGGAGGAGGAGGAGGAGGAGGAGGAGTAAGAGATCTGCACGGAGGAACGAACGAGGGATGACTGGAATCTGCTTCACCTGCTTGTCTATCACTTCGAACTCTTCGCCGCAGGGCTCTGGCTCCTCTTTGACCGCCTCCTCCGCCTCTTGTCCACCTGGGCCTCCGTCCTGACCTGTCCTGCTGACCTTCTGCGGGGGATCGCTGGAGTCCTCCTCCTCCAGCTTCCTCTTCATACCGACCTGCTCCTGCATCTTCGCCACGTTCTCCCTCGCGCGGTCTTGGATGTCCTTGAGGATTCTCGAGGCGAACATGTGCTCCAGCATCTCGTGGAAGAACTCCGCAAACAGCGATACCTGCGGGGAGTTAGTCGCGCGACTACGCAGCTTAGGGGGGGGGGGGGGTGTGGGCAGGTCGCGTCTCTCACCTCAAAGTTCTTCTCCAGCACATCGTCCAGGTTGTAGTCCAGCAGGCCGTCCAGGGAGATCAGACTCGCCTTGATCTGCCCCTTCCCGTCTCCTCCCTCCTCCCACTTGGGCCGCACGAGGATGCAAGGCTCCTCAGGGAAATCGAGCTTGATGGGTTCAGGAGGAGGAGGCCCCTTCACCTCCTCCTTCACCCCGTGCCCTCCTCCTCCTTCCTGCTCCGTCTTCACCTCCCCAGTGCTCGTTGCAAGCTGGCCTGAGGCGTCCGCGTCCTGCTGGACCCCAGAGGATGTTGCCGGAACCACCGACTCAAGCTTCACCTCAGCAGATTTGCCGTCGCCGGGCTGGCCGGCCTCATTGATATTCCCAGCTCCTGCTGGTGTTTTGCGATCTCCTGTGGAGATACTCTCAGCAGCCGCGGCTTCAGCTTCTGCCGCCTGTTGATAAGATCAGGAATGTCCCAGCTCTCCTCCTGCTGCCGGTGAAGGTGAACAATTTCTCACCTTGGCTGCGGCTGCGGCTGCGGCTGCGGCTGCGGCAAGCTAAAGAGAAGTCAGAACGATGCGATGATGAGCGCGAGAAAGCAATGGAGGGAAAGAAGAGGTAGGAAAACCAACGAGGAGGAGCAGGAGGAGGAGGAGGAGAAGGAGGAGGAGAAAGAGGAGGTGGAGGAGGAGGAGGAGGAGGAATACAGTGTTGGAGGTTGGGTAAGGGGGACATCAAGTGGTTTGCAGGTAAAAGAATTGGTCTGACCTTGGCTGCCTCAGCAGCAGCAGCAGCAGCAGCAGCTCGCTTGATCTCTGCCTCCTTTGCAGCACGACGACGTTCCTCCATGTCCTTCTCCCATGCCGCATGGGCTGCGAAACAAGCTAATGAGGAACAGAGGGCCATGGAGGAGAGGAGGAGGAGGATGATGCTAAGTGACGGAATGGTGAAAGGAGAAGAAGAAGGGGACAAGGAGAAGATAGAAGGAGATAGAAGTCGAGAGGAGAGCGACGAAAGGAGATAGCAGAGTCACAGGAGGCAAGTGGGAGTAGAAGAGAAAAGCGGAGGAGGAGGAGCAAGGGAGAGGCTGTTGACCTTTGGAGTTGAGTTCATCCTCGAGGTTCGAAATACTCGAGGTGAATTGCTCGCGGTCGGGCATAGCTCCCTCGAGCTCTGGGAGGAAGATAATCGTATGCTCCTCCTGCTCGGGATACCACTGGCCCTTGTACCTGAGAAGAGAGATAGGAAAGAGGAACAGCAGATCGAAGGAGAGTAGAGAGAAAAGAGGGTAGATGGACGAGGAGGGTGAGAAAGACGAGAGAAAGAGAGAGATAGAGGGCATGTCAACGAGGGCCGCAAACATCGCACAAAAATCTACATCTCAGCTGGCCGGTTGTACTGGATCTCCATGAACCGATGCCACTTCTTGACCCCGCTGAGGTCCACGTCGATCGTCTCCTTGACGCAGCGGATGGCCGTGCGGATCAAGGCCTCGGTGTCGGGGCCAGTAGACCCTCCTCCATCCTTCTCCTCCATCCACATGCCCCCCATGCAGAACAGCCCATGCTTCTGGCTCTTCACGCACAGGAACTTGATCATCTTGCCCAGGTGCGCCTTGGAAGTCCCACCTGCCTCCCACCAGAGGTCGGGCAGCCCTTGCAGCAGCATCACCTTCGCGTTGTACTTGACGGTGAACTGATGAGGAGGAGCTTTGGACGGCTCTGCCAGCCTGCGGAAAAGGTGCTGATCCTTCTTAGCTCCGCAGAAGAACCTCGTCTTTGAAACCAGTGGCAGCTCCCCACCTTTTCCGAACTCCCCTTCGGGCCACAGGCACAGGGCCCTGCTGAAGTCTTGCGCGACATGGAGGCGAGGGTACCGCAGGCGCAGCTGCTGGTAGTCACGATGGACAGTGGAGAAGGGGAAAGGAGCGATCTTGAGCAGGTATCTTCCCTTCTCCGGTGTCAATCCTCCCTTGGATGAATCTGCCTTGACATCCGGCAAGTTCCTCCGCGGGGACGGCATCTCCTTGAACGACCGATCCTCCATCCTCGGCTTCTCCGGCCCACGGTCTCGGTTCATCGGATCCTTTGGATGCCCATCCCTTCCTCGAGAAGGAGGAGGATCTCTCCCGTGGAACTTCTCCTGCCCAGACCGTCTGCCGCCGGACTCACCAGCTCGGCCTCCTCCTCCTCCTCCTCCTCCTCCTCCTCCTCCCCTGCACGGCCGATGGTATCAGACATCTACTTAATTCCTCCTCCTCATCGTCGTCATCATCATTCTCATCATCATCCTCATCCTCGTCCTCATCAATCTCATGATAGTCGTCGTCGTCGTCATCATCATCATCATCATCATCATCACCTCTTCGGTCCTCCAACCATGGGCTGCAATCACGAGTCAGACATCATCGTCGTTTCTCGTCAGGCCGGGGTAGGCAGAGAAGCAATGGCAGGTACCGGCGGCTTGCTCCTGTCCCCTCTCCCGAACCTCGAGTCCCTTCCTCCCCCTCTTCCACCAGAATCTTATGAACGAGTTAGAGCCAATAACGAGCACAGAAGCTGCAGCATACCTCCCTTCATGCTGGGGGGACCGTCCATGCCTCCTCCTCCAGATCCAAGGGATCCGCTTCTCCCGCCATAGCCCCCACCGTACATGCCCGACTTCTGCGAGCCTCCTCCACTCCATCCGCTCTGTGAGATCCCGGAGGGTCAAAGGGGACAAGGAAGGGTCCAACCTCACCCCATGGGACATGCTACCCTGACCGGACCAGCTGCTGCCCATCTGAGAGGCTCTTTGCGCCCGGATATGCTCTTGCTGCTGCATCAGCCTCTCCTGTCTCTCCTGCGAGCCGACAAGTCAGTTGGAGGCTGGAGGAAGCGAGAGGAGAGAGGTTGTCACTTGTTCTTTCTGTGCAGCAAGGCGAGCCTGCTGCTGCTCCAGCATCTGCTGCCTGTGGAGGTCTTGCGCCCTCCTCTGTTGCAGGGATGAGAGTGTATCGAGACGAATGAGAAAAGTTCGATATCAGCGAGGACCGAACGACAGGTGGGAGGATGGAGAAGAGGAGGAGTACGCGGGACGATAGAGGAATCCACGAAAAGGCAGGAGGGAAAGAGTATAAAACGAAAAGGAGGAAGGTGAGACAAGGAGGATGGAAAGAAGGATGGAAAGAAGATGAGGAAGACAAAAGAAAGAAAATGACAATTGACCTGATCCCTCGGGTCATCTCCTCGCTGTCCATGGCTCATCCCGCCGTAATCGTCTTGAGAGTATCCTACTCCAGCGAGATCAGGACAAGACTCTGACAAGTATGAATAGCTGTAAAGTGGACCTCGTTCGTAGCGGCTAGAGCCGTATCCTCCTCCCATCTCAGGAGGTACGTTTCCACGTCTAAGGCAGCGAGCGAGTGAGAGGGAGGGGAGGGAGGGAGGGAGGGGAGGGGGAGGGGGGGGAGGGAGGGAGGGAGTAAGAGGGACGATCATGGGGTGCCAATCGAGCTGCAGTGACTTCCTACCTGTCGAATCCTGACCTCGACGATTCTCCCCTGCTGTAGTACTCTCCGTACCGCCTTCCGCCCCGTCAGCATCATGGATGGGGCATCCTCATGGTCCTTACCTGTCGTTCGAGGGCTCTGACCCTTGCTGGAGCTGCTGAAGGAGAAGCATCTGGAGCTGCTCGTTCTGCAGCACAGCATGAACAACACTGAGGGGGGGCAGGGAGGATGAGGTAGGAGCTACTGCGCCTTACCTGGTTCGACTGGTCGTACCCTGTACATTAAGTTGCATCAGTTGCTTGTTTGCCTCCTTCCAGTCACGAATCACCTGCCATTTGATCGCCAGGCCCGCCATAGCTCGAGTCCATCCCGCCGCCATAACCGTTGTATCCTCCTCGTGAGCCTCCGGAACCCCACTGATCCATCGCAGCGAGGAGTGACTGTGCAAGGAGATCGATCAGTCTCCTTCTTACTCTTGTTCTCTTCTTATCCCCCACTTAATAACGTTTCTCTATATCCTCAACGCTCGACCGTATCCTGTTCTTAACAAGCCAATATCTGGCCCTATGATCTTCCTTCCATCGCTAAAATCGAAAACAACTGATGCTTCTTCTGTTCGAAGAATGTCTCCGTGTCTCTCCATTCAATCAACACAAACCCTGCCTCAGCCCTTCATCCCTGAATTCCTCTGACCTCGCCTATCGATGCCTCCTCCATTATGGTCGCTCGTTGACTGTAAAGATCTCCTTCATTCAGATTCATTCTCATCATCATCTTATTCTTCTTCCTCTTCCTGCTGTTGTTGGTGGTGTTGATTTTGCATCAGCAGCATCAACATCTCCTCCTGCTGTTTTCACCCTCCCTCGCCATCCTCCATGCCTTTCCTCTTCCACAACGAAATTCTAAAAAAATATAAAATGCACAGTGCAAATTGGTACCAAAAATTATTAAAATATTTCTACATGTATAATTGAATATATTGTCAATATGTGTAAGTTTTTTACATGGTTTTAGAAAAACAACAATACAAACAAAAAATAACAACCCTTCAAAAACTTTACCATATATCATAATAAATAAGCTAGGTACAAATTCTGATACAAAACATACTATAACTCCACAAATAAAATCTCACGAGCCCCAAAAAGAATTTTAAAACCTTACTTTCAGTGCCACTGAGTCGTCGGAACTTGCAGCACTGCCGCAGCACTGCGGCCGGGCCGGGCGGCAGTGACTCCGTGGTGAGAGTCTGGCCGGGCCCGCCACCGGGGTGACCGTGCGGCCGTGCGGCCGGGGCCGGGGCCCGCCCTGTGACACCGGGCACTCAAAGTTAACGGTTAAACTTTATATTCAAGTCATGACGGTTCCGAACCGTTGAACGGCCAACAGGCCGCCCGAGTCGGAGCCCGGCGCACAGCGGCCGCCGCGCGCCGCTCGGCCGGCCCTGAGCAGCCTTCCGAATTCCAAAGTTCCACCGGCACTGGGCGCGGCTCGGACTGCGGCTACCGTACGGCCCACTCCCGGAGGCCGCCGCCGGGCCGGGCCGCCCGCCGGGGCCGGGCGGCGCCCGGCTGAGCCTGACTCGAACTGCCGCCCGGGCCGGCGCCGCGGCGCCGGGCGCCGTTCAAGAGTCGGAATTCGGACACGCCGCGCCTGGCGGTACTACCGGGTGAATTCTTGGCCTTAATAAGGGCGGCCCGTCACGTACCCACCTACCTCTTCGAACCTGACTTCACTGATCGGACCCCTCATTATGACTGCAGACAACGTCAGATTCCACCCGGTTTCGCAGTACCCCCATCAGCATCTACCCCTCAGCCGTCTACTACTACCACCCACCAACCAACAACGGGAGGCTCGTTACTACGCATGACCACCCCAGATGTCGGGGCCCGAGTCGGTGCAAATTTGAATATATATCTATCAAAATTTGAAAACTTATTTAAGATAAATTTCAAAAATTTGAAACTTTGAAATCAACCTACTACAGGCGATTGCAGATTGGGGGTCCTCACCCTCAACGGCTCATTCATGATGAGTTTGGAAGGGGTAGGGGTTCGAGGGAGGGGTGACAAAGTTGAAATGGTGGGTGGCAATGGAAATGGGGTACACACGTAGGGGTACCTAATGTTCCCATCACCAGGGGTGGAATTAGAATTCATAGAGATAAGGTGGACGATTGAGGGAAATTGGTGTAGCATACAGGGGTAGGGGGTACACCTCATCTTGATGAAGAAGAATGGGGGTCCAGTAGGGTATAGTGCACTCGAAAGGGGGTAGGGTGGTTAGGATTGATGCTTTAAAACGGGGTGGGTAGTTCATGACGGGGTGGATAGAGGAGCGGCAGGGGGTAGTAATAGATGGTGGTAGTGCCGCGACGTGTCCACAATGTCATGAGATCAGTCAGAGAAGCGAAGCGAAGATGAGAGCGAGAGAGGAGAGAAGAAGACAGCAAGGAAGAGAAGACAGCAACAAGGACGTTGAAATCTTATAGCGATCGTTGAAGGAGTGGAGCATCAGCGAACGGGTAATGGAAGTGTCAAGGCGATGGAACTGAGCAGGGAAGTCAGTGGGGTTGAAGGGAGGGGTGATTCAAGGGAGCGAATCGTCAAATGATATAGTGATATACTCTGTCATCAAGTTTAAGCATGCTAGGAGAAGAATAAGTGGATTACATACCTTAGAGCATGAATTAACAGGTTCCCTTATGAACAAATCAGTACAAAATATTACGGCAGAAGAGATGCTGTGATTGGAGATTAAAGATGCCATTAAAACGATTTGTGTGACGAGAAAGGAAGAATTGCAGATCAAGGAGGAGAATAGGTGTAACGAAGAAAGCAGAGATGGCTGAGGGATTGGAGATGAGATGAGATGGAACAGATAAAAACCCTCATGATCAGTGAAGCGACGCTGCAGAGTTGAAGTTGACGAATATCAGGGGGGGCTTCCATGAATAGAGATGGGGACTTCTAAGGAAGGTTTGAAGAAGTCATGCTCATGAGACAAGGGCAGGAGTTGATGGCTGAGTATATGGTCTCTGAAACAAGCAGAGAGGTAAGGGCGAGAGGAGGCACTGTAAGGAGATGCAAGAGGAAAAGGATTAGGAATGTTATCCAGCACCTTCAAGGATACAATCATGCTGGTAGGAAGAGTTCAATGCTGTGAATTTCAATGATGCACAGGAGATGAAAGACAGCAAACTCCGTTTAAATGTAGAGCGTGCATGTGCAATCGTTGTCATTAGATCCCTTTCTATGCAGGAGCTGAAGCTGAATTTTGTCTGCAGGTGATATTGCTAGCATGATGCAGGTTCAACCACAATACTCCTATCACGATCAGTTTCACAATGAGATGCCCGCGCAGTACCCGTACCCCCAAGAACATGTCCAGCAAATGCCCTATCCTCGATATGACATGATGAATCAACAACCGCCCATTCCAGCGCCTGCTCAGCCCATGATGGGTCAAGGACAACCGATGGGAGGGCAGCCCATGATGGGACAGCCGATAGGAGGGCAGCCCATGATGGGACAGCCGATAGGAGGGCAGCCGATGGGAGGGCAGCCCATGTTTCAACCACCACCAGCGCCTCCTGGAGCGTATGCGAATGGGTTGAACCCTCAGAAAGCCAGCGCGTCATCGTCGAGTGGCAGGCGAGGCAAAGGCAGGCTCATCAAAAAGGGAAAGTAGGATGATGCATGTGTTGGTGTGGGAGATTGAGACTTTTGCGATCAGATACTGGCCTGGGAACTGGTTGAAATTGATCGAGATTGAGAAACCGGTGTTCGAGGCTGACCTAAGAGACAAACAGGCTGAAGAGACCATGTATGATGTCCTTGATTCGTGTGCTGGCTGCAAGTAACATGCTTGTATAGGATGCCCCAGCCAGCTCCTGCTCCCTCAATGCCGTACAACCCCCCTCAAATGTACCAGCAACCAGTTCAACAACCAATGCAGCACGCCGCTCCACCACCTCCTTCCTTCGAGGGTCGATACTATGAGGAAGGCTCGAGTGGGGAGGCTCTTTAATGGGCATGTGGTACAAGAAAATGACTGAAGATGCCTATCTCTCGCTCAGTGTTGGTGGTCTACAGTTTGAGTTGATGTGTAGAAAACAAGACTTGGAAACAAGGAAATCAAAAGCAAGTTCGATTGCTCGTACGAGTTGCTAAACCTTTGTATTCCTCATCTTTCCTTCTGCATGGTTGGTACCCCCTGGTTGTATCCTGTCACCCCTCATGAGGCTTTAGTACCTGTCCTCGTCGTTCTCATGCACCATCATGACAGATCTTGTAAGGCAATGATGAAGGAAAGTGAAAAGTAAAGAGCGCATGATAAAGCATCGTTTTTCAACACATCTTGAATCAATGTCCGACACTCATCCAGCATGTTCATCCAAGAATGACACCAAACCCTCCTGGACCCCCTTGCCTCCACCTGCCTCTCTATCTCCCCCACCACTGCCTGTACCCTCTACCTCTCTATCTCCCCCACCACTGCCTGTACCCTCTGCCTCTCTATCTCCCCCACCACTGCCTGTACCCTCTACCTCTCTATCTCCCCCACCACTGCCTGTACCCTCTACCTCTCTATCTCCCCCACCACTGCCTGTACCCTCTACCTCTCTATCTCCCCCACCACTGCCTGTACCCTCTGCCTCTCTATCTCCCCCACCACTGCCTGTACCCTCTGCCTCTCTATCTCCCCCACCACTGCCTGTACCCTCTACCTCTCTATCTCCCCCACCACTGCCTGTACCCTCTACCTCTCTATCTCCCCCACCACTGCCTGTACCCTCTACCTCTCTATCTAGGATGTTCTAGGCTGAACGAGTGTACTCAAAGCTTTCTAGGCTGAACGAGTGTACTCAAAGCTTTGTTGGAGATCAGGAGCTAGGCTGATGGTATCCTCTGAGAGATGCTGTTAGCAAAACATTGAAATGTTGTGATGGTTGGAACACAAGAGGGGGGAGGAGGGAGGATGTAACATGATGGTCCCTCTACCTCAGGCAATGTATCACTGATTCTATCTCAACGCAGGAAGGAATCACACGCTCCTCACGAGTGTGCTGCACTTGTACCCATGCTGTGTGCCACGAATCGATAGTGAGTTGGTGTTATCAAATAAACTTCATGTCTCTACTCTTCACCCTTGTGTGTCAACCTGCGGAGGTGCCTTGAGCATTTGCTGTAGACGTCTGCAACCCGTGAAGCTTCAGGGTGTGACAGAAGTTTGGTAGCGTTAAGTGTTTGTGTCGTGATTTGTGGAGTTTCATTCTGTTTTCCGTCTCCGCTAGTGATTTGTGGAGTTTCATTCTGTTTTCCGTCTCCGCTAGTGATTTGTGGAGTGTCATTCTGTTTTCCGTCTCCGCTAGTGATTTGTGGAGTTTCATTCTGTTTTCCGTCTCCGCTAGTGATTTGTGGAGTTTCATTCTGTTTTCCGTCTCCGCTAGTGATTTGTGGAGTTTCATTCTGTTTTCCGTCTCCGCTAGTGATTTGTGGAGTTTCATTCTGTTTTCCGTCTCCGCTAGTGATTTGTGGAGTTTCATTCTGTTTTCCGTCTCCGCTAGTGATTTGTGGAGTTTCATTCTGTTTTCCGTCTCCGCTAGTGATTTGTGGAGTTTCATTCTGTTTTCCGTCTCCGCTAGTGATTTGTGGAGTTTCATTCTGTTTTCCGTCTCCGCTAGTGATTTGTGGAGTTTCATTCTGTTTTCCGTCTCCGCTGTGCTTGAATTTGGCGTTCTGGACTACGTTGTTGTATACACAACTTTGCGTAAGACCTTGAGCTCAGATGATCTTAGGATCACTGTTTATCAAGCACACACACTCATGAGATCAGCACCATGCTCTCTGGCAGCTCTCCGGCATCGTCATCCTATTTCCCTACGGTACAGCTATGCTACGTCCAAGGGGCGTCCGGAATGAGTCCAGGATACAACACACGTGATGTCATACAATACTCGTCAGGCTGCTTCCAAGCAGATTTCTGATCATCAGCTGTTAGATAATGATTGGCAATTCTTGGGGGACGCTGATGACCTGGAACACGACCGCATCTTACTGCCACCGGTAGGTCCCCGCCATTGACACCCATGCTCAAGTTACGGCCAAGATCAAGAACTTGCCTAAGCTGGACACTGCCAGGCAGACACCGCAGAAAAATGTACTCACCAGGGTCAGGGCAGTACGATATGCCCTCGAACCTGCACTAGATCTCTTGGATGAGGTGCTCGTCAACATTGCATCGCTCCGGCAGAGCTCCGGCAACTATCCTGGACTACCTTTGCGAGGCAGCTCCAGGACAGTTATCTTCCACCAGCATCTTCAGCTGCTGCCTGGAGGTCTTGAATTCGCCAACGACAGCGTCATCCGACGACGCTTCGTCGCAGGAGTGTTAGCTGAGTATGGCATTGCCTTGGATACCACGGCTCAGAGTCGGAAGGATACGAAAATCCGCCAGCTGCATGCCATCACCGCGATGTTTCCAGGCGGCCCGGAAGCACGCACGCGGCTGGACATGCGCAAGGGGAGCAGGGGAGAAACTCCCGCAAGGACGGCGGGAGCAGAGGGAGGAATCCATCCAAGGACCGACAAGCAGGCGCGTCTGCTCGGAAGGGCCGTTCCAGCCGTTGCAACAGTCGGGAGCGCGCAGAGGGCCGCTGCTTTAACTGCAGGCAGCGAGGACAAGAAGTGGAAAGAGTCGGTCCCGTCGCACAGGGAGATGATGACATCTCGTTTCAAATGAACTTCAACTTTGCATCCCCGGTACGAGCGCTGGGAATGTCAAAGTTCAGTGGTGCAACGGCTTGGGCTGTCGACATACGCGATCCCTGCAGCGGTCAAGGTGCAGCTTGCTCAGGGCGACAGCTCCATGCTCGTTCGCGAGGCCTGTCGAGTGGACTTCACCATCGCGGGCACGGCGACAAACGCACAAGAGGACTTGCTGGTACTCGACGCGCACGCGGCGTTGCCGGCGATCCTCAGTCGTCGCTTCATAAGGCGCATGCAGCACTTGCCGGTAGGGGTCACGCTGCCATCCTCCATCTCCGGTACGGGGCCTGGCTGCATCCTTCATCCCAGGCTCAATGCCCATCTGGTCGAGGTCAATGTCCCACCTCCGGTGCCGACGGAGTTCATGGAAAGGATTGGCAACGCGCGGCTGTTCTTGAGCAAGGTTGACCTGGCCAGTGGGTTCTGGCAGTTCAAGCTCACGGAGAACACTGAGAGCTCAATATACCGGCTTCCTGATGGAACAAGGAGCGTTCGACTTCTGCTGGAACTGAGCAAGATCCAAGCGATTCAACAGTTTCCGGTTTCCGCATCGCTGAAGCAACTTCATTTATTCTTGGGATTGGCCAACTTCTACAAGCGATTCATTCCTAATATTGCGAGACTCGCAGCGGACCAATCGGACGAGCTCAAGCAGGGCCAGAGACGATTTGTGTGGACCAAGACAGCACAAGAAGCTGTTGATGCCCTCAAACGGGCCTTGACGCAGGCACCTGTCCTCCATCATTCTCAGAGCGATCGCCCAACCATCTTGCAACAGATGCTTCGGATCTCGAAATTGGCACTGCTCTGCATCAGCAGACGGGATCGAGCACCCAATTGCAACACTCTCGTTGCTACATCAGACGCATCGTAGGCAGAATTCAAACTGACGCGACGAAGTCAGAAAGGAGTTCTTCTCACCTTGAATTGAGCTGTCATTTCCTATTCCAGCAAACTTCAACAGTCTGTTAGTCTAAGCTCTACGGAGTCTGAACTTCAGGCATCTACCATGGCTGTACAGTACATTCTTATCTTCCGTCGCCTCCTCAGTTATTTCACAGAATGAAACGCTTCGATATCAAATCGTTTCTTTGTGACAAGCTTGCCAAGCAGACGTTCCTTCCTATTCAATTTGCTTCCTGACTTCTAAGCTCTACGTTTGGATTTCTCCTCAGTGGCTGCCATCTTCTCTACCATCACAAGATCTGCATGGGAGGATGATGGCACATGCAGTTCGGTTGCATGGGACGATTGCATGCGAGCAGTACCTGCTCGTTGCTTTGCAGGATGGCACGTGCAGTACATGCTCGTTGAATGGGAGCAGACGCCTTTCTCCCATCGCTGAGCCGTGCAGGTACTCCTCAGACCTACTAGTCCCTGCTGCACATGGCAGGTGGCCGTGTGGCCAGCTGCTCGCTTGCATGGGAGGACTCTCGGGTCGTTGAAAACATTTGCGAGTCCAGAGATGCTCAACGCATCTTTCCTCCAAACACTTGCTGCAATCTTATTCTTCAAAAGCAAAAGGCGTTCCCTGAGGTTTCAGCTTCTCTTTCAAGCAGGCCTTCTCCTCATGATGCGCTCAAGCAAGTTCATGGCTCAGGCATGACGGCCTCGCTCTTGCTTTACCGCAGCTGCCATGGTCTCCTTGGCAGGGATGATCCCTTCGATAGCCAGTGGCTCGCTCGCTCTCTCGCTTTCTCCTTCTCTTGCGTCTGTCTCGTTGTCTCGACAGCCGCACTCTGTTGCTGGGAGGACAACAGTGCTCAGCGCGGCAGTGCAGAATTTTTCGATTCACCAACAGGCTACTTTGTTCCTTTTAGCTCTTCGCAACAGCTAGTATCGCTTCCAGAGGCGACTACTCGTCTTCGACAAGAATTTGTAGGAGTACTGATGAGGGGTGGTCTACCCCGCACTTGGTCTGGAGATGTAGGGGTCTTGCCTCCTTCTGCTGCTGCTGCTGCTGCTGCTGCTGTGCAAGCGCATTGTTTGGCGAACCCCTCTCCATCAAAGACCAACATCAGATCCGATCCGAACATCACCGCTTTCTTTTTCATTTGCATCTCATTGGACTCGGAAGAGCTTTCAGCCACTTCCAAATAAACACATCTCTTGCACTGCCTCTTTCATTCCTTGATTACACTCGTAATCATCACAACATACTCTTGTTGTGTGACTTACTTTGACTCTTGTGTTTCTTGGGAACACGGTCCTCGAATTTTACACGGAGCGTATCTCACCCCATCGGACGGTGCCAGTGTGATCAGAGGACTACTGTGTGTTCATCATCTCCTACCGTCACGGATCTGACTTTCTGCGGACAGTGACTGTGCTGTCTCGTCAAGTTATGTCCTCGATGTCTCAAACATTTTGGCGGGCCGGTGCTAGGAAGGCCTCCTCTTCGTCTGACGTGCTACATTGCCACCTCGCAACACGTAAGGGTCGTCTTTACACAACGATTGTCATGGACTTTCTCCACATGCTCGAGAGTGCTTACTATGCGACATCTCCGAGCAAGTCGACTTGCATCTGCAGATAGCTGCAATATTCATTTTTCGATTTTTAGCTCTTCTGACAAGCCTTCTCTGCGCTTTCAAACTCACAACACTATCGCTACACTATCGCTACCATGAATGGCACCTCCACTGGATCACACAAAGGTGTACTAAGGTAGAGACGAAGATCGTAGCTCTTCAGATGATCCTTCAGACGCAGCTGTTCTTCCAGATGTCGGAGTACTGCAGCTAATCTTTGCCTGGCCTGGAGAGAGCCTGGTTCCTATGAGCTCTAACACCATCCAAATGCGGTGAACAGAGTCTCAAAATCAGAAGAACCTGAAGCTACATTCAGTGTAGAGACAGTTACATTTTGCATATTCTTGCAGCAGAAATTCATCTTCAGATGAAAGTTCATGCTCTCTTTTGTACACTTTTGCTTCCAAAATGCTCTCTGGGCCAAGCAAATTCCGTACCATTGCGTGAGAATGACTGTTGAACTCGAGAAATAAGAAATATCCGACAAGATTTCAATTCTCTCCTGAGCAACTGTAATTTGATGCTGAATTCCATCGCAGATTTGAGGTTACAACCCGCCATGATGAAGCTACCCCTCTTCTATCACGTCACAACCTGATCGACGATGCTGGAGGAGGACCCATGCTACGACTGATGTCGGTAGCAGTGCTGTTCATCACTTAGATAAGGCTCTTTCTATAAACATTCAACTCAACAGAGCTCCTTTCAAGATTGCCGAAATTGCAATTTCTTTGAAATTTCCCTTGTCACTCGCTCACCACAGGTATGAAAGGAGGTAGTGCGGGTATAATTGATCACTGTTGGCAATAGTGAATCATTCACCAGCTCGAGTCAATCCGAGTTTCGCACCATCATACCCATGTCGTAGAGATGTGCGTTGGAACTAACGATCTGTTGCAAGATCATTGACAAGTACTTCATCCTTGTCGGCCTAGAGCTACTGCAGCACCATTGGGCGTCTTTTGCTATCTGCTCAGACCGAGTCAGGTGAGTTGCCGCGCCTGACTCAGTAACCCCTAAGCCCTCATCGGTCGGATTGAGATGGGCAGCTTGGTATCCTCCCACGAGCTAATGCTCAGCCGCTTCAATAACTCGAAAGAAGAAGCCAATGTCTGAGCCGAGAGGCAAATATTGCACAGTGTATGACAACGAGTCATGGATAGGACAGGTCAAGTACCAAATGCTCGCAAGTGGAGCCCATTCATTCAGCCAGTACTCTCCTGCTCGCTGCAGATGCAGCAGCTGGAGCAATCCAGTCTTGCACTTGCATGCAACATGTCCGAGCAAGTCGATGCGCCTTCTCACGCAAGCGCACTGAAGTCATGAGGAGCATCTACCCTTAGCTGAAAGTGCTTAGAGGATGACCCCTGGTGCGAGAGAGGCTCATCAGTACGGGTAGTTTCCTCATTCCTGGTCAGAAGCGGAGCAGAAGCTTGCGAGAAGCGAGAGCTCGCACGATGCGAGTGTGTTCGAGCATCAGAGAGCACTAGCGCTAGTCCTTCCCTTAGCATATAGAAGGATCAGCCTCTTCAGCTAGAATGGGCTGTTCTCTCCTCATGTTGTATCACTACACTGCACCTTTATGTGCGATCCAGTGGAGAGATGCAAGGCTTGCTAATAATAATAGTCATCATGCAGTCCCACTAGGATCCTATAGCAGGGGGCATGCGGATGGGCGAAGCTTGATGGCATGGGCGACGGAGTGCTAATTAGCACGTTCGGTGCCAATTCATGAGAAAACAAAGCACTAGGTATGTTATTCACAACCTTCGTGATCAGCGGGTGTGATGCTTGGAATCGTCCTGAAGCTCATATCTTTGCGAAGATTTGGCAAGGAGTACTCCAATAAGTGCGTGAAACGCACGAAGTCAGCAGGGGAATCGTGATAGCCATGGGTGTGGCATAGGCTGCTAAGTGCTAAACAGCCCTGCAACAAAACCTTCTGAGAGCAAAATGGTGCTTGGATGGGAGGCAGAAATCAGGACATCTTCAAAGTAGAGTACCTTAATCATCGTGGCCCTTTGACATCTTGATCCTATCCTAGCATCACTGATCTTGCATTTGATAACAGGATGATTGATTGTCGTAGATCATAGGCATCGTCGATGATTCGAGCTTTCTCTGACCCTAGCATCGTTGATCCCAGGACAAAGCATTGTTGATCGTAGCATATGGTCACCTTAATCTCAGCATCTTTGATCCATGCAGCACTCTGACAGCCTCTGCCCACCGAAGATGCTGCAGGCATCTTGCCATTCTTGCTGCACGTATTGCGCTCTCATGCTGACAGTCCTTGGGCAAACCCCAGTGCGAGCTGAGTTGCACCTCAGGGTGAATCGAGCTTTTAGCACGGGGGAGGTCAGGTGGAGGAGGTGAGGGGGTGACGGGTGGAGGGTGAGAAAGGGAGAGTGAAGGGGTGGTCATCAGATTATTGACCTCAGGTGGAGAAGGTGAGGGTGGACGAGTGGAGGTAGAGGGAACGTCTTCCTTGTCCCCCTGAAACCCTCCCCCCCTGCCCCCCTCCCCCGTTCTTCCCGTCAGGTGGACAGGGTGAGCCGTGACAGGGGTTGAACAATTTTTTTTTTTCAGGGTGAATTCGAGAACTTCAGGTGGAGGGGGTGGAGGAAAGAGCGGGTGACGGGTGTGTGGTTGCACGAGTTTCCGTGCAACCAGGTGGAGGAGGTGGTCTCAAATACTACTGACACTGACTGGGTGAGGGTGGTGGACGGGGGGGGGGGGGGTGCCATCTCGTGTCTGTCACGGACCTTTCTTGGCCGTAAAGTATTTGTACGGGGTGGAGATAGATTATATAAAATTCGGTTTGTGACTTTTTGATTCGGTGAGGGGTGGGTTAACAGAAGCTAGCTACCCCTGACCTGCTGAGGTTTCCCTTGGTGAACCAAGGGTAGGGTAGTCACGATGAGCTGGAGGGGGTGGACACATGAGGGGTCTACTAAGGTGTGAGTATAATGAACGGGCAGGTGGAGAGGGGGGGAGGGGTAGCTGATCGAAGGCTCAGGGCACGGGTAGTAGGGTGGTGTTCGTGAGCAAAGGCCGAATTTCCGAGGTAGGGACCGTCCGAAACAGCACTGGAAGAGGGGTCCATAGGGTCGGGGGTGGTGTGGCTTTTCAAGAATGTTCTTCTGACCCTTCAGTACCCCTGCGGTCTCTGGAGTTCCTACAGGTGGGCTGGTACCCCCCCACCCTCCCTTGGAAAATACCTGGCAATCACCTCGATTACCGTCACATGGGGTAGGGTACCCTACCCTAAATGCCGATTTCATGTTCAAAGTTCGATGGCTCTGTCTTGATTTTTGAAATTATTGCGATAAATTTCAGAGTTGCTACCATGAGTGAACCTTTCGACCCCCGCTGGATAGGTCCGCTGTGCTCAGGATCAGCGCATGGGGATGTTGGGGGCTACGAGCATGCAGACGAGGGTTGCGGCGGTGTGGGGGAGGAAGACACTTGTATGGCATCTTCTTGTGATGTGCTCACTTGTACCTCTCACCTGCTCTGAGAGTAATCCCTCGGAATCTTCGTTCATTTCAAGTACTCCGATCATTTCTTCCTCCTCCTCCTCTACTCCGGTCATCTCATCGTCTACTACTTCGAATACTGCGGTAATCTCGTTCTCGACTGATACAAACACTCCGGTCATCTCCTCCTCTTCCTCTACTCCGGTCATCTCCTCCTCCTCCTCCTCCTCTACTCCAGTCTTCTCCTCCTCCTCATCTACTCCGGTCGTCTCCTCCTCTTCCTCTACTCCAGCCTTCTCCTCCTCCTCCTCCTCCTCTACTCCAGTCTTCTCCTCCTCCTCCTCTACTCCAGCCTTCTCCTCCTCCTCCTCTACTCCGGTCGTCTCCTCCTCCTCCTCTACTCCGGTCATCTCCTCCTCCTCTACTCCGGTCGTCTCCTCCTCCTCCTCTACTCCGGTCATCGCCTCCTCCTCCTCCTCTACTCCAGCCTTCTCCTCCTCCTCCTCTACTCCGGTCGTCTCCTCCTCCTCCTCTACTCCGGTCATCTCCTCCTCCTCCTCTACTC